TTTTTTTTTTTTTTTGAAAATAGGCAATGGAAAGTAGATCCCAACTCATGGGCCGAACTTAAGCTAAACTTCACGGATTTTACCAAACATCTTCTTTATCTTTATTGAGACGGTTTATAATGCACTGAATCCTCTAAATACTTGCTACCAAAGGAATACGTTGTGCATGAACCTTTTCTTCTTTTTGAGACTATCACGAGCACTTCAAGAAAAGAAAGAACCATTTAGACTAGACAAGAAAAGTTCAACACACCAATAAGAATTAATTTGGGTAAGTTGGTATCCACTAATTTAAAATCTTAATTTAAAATTAAGTTTAGAAGTTTAAATCTTTGGGAGAACTAAAATATGTATAATAATTTTTTTCATCTCTTTAGGAATAAGTTAATTTTTGCTCGTGATTAGCACATGTTAAAAAATATATTTATTATATTTTTTTATTATTAATTTATATAAAAAATAAAAATTGATTTTAATTTTATCAACTATTTAATTAAAATATTACACATGACATTAGTGTTAAAAATAAAATTTATTTTCATAATTTTTTAAATAAACTAATGACAAAAATATAAAATAAATACACACTTAACCCATACTTACATTTTAATTAAGCGTTTGATTAATTAACCAAAATGATTATAGATAATAAAAACCATCACTGTAAAGTTGCTGGCAACTTGCATGCTATTATGCATTCATGTCCAATAATGACATTTGGGAGATTAGAATATCTGTGACAACTTTTCTCATCTTTTAGGGGATAAGTTACAGCTTGCTTATATAAGAGTAACCTTCTTCTCAATTCATTCATCACCCTTTTCACTATTTTTTTTTCCCCAGCTATATAGACCGAACGTGTTTCTTCTTGACTAATTGAGTATTGTCCTTATCTTAATTTCTTCGTCACCCTTTTCACTCTCTCACTCACTCTCATATCCGTTTTCTGTTTCCAGTTGCCATGGATGATGGAATTGTTAGAATGGGGGAAGCGGCTCATGTGGGAAACATTGAGGGCATATATCAACTGCTTGAGCAGGATCCATCTGTTCTGCGAAGAATTGAAGATGATTTGCCTTTTGCTCAAACGCCCTTGCACATAGCCGTTCAACATATGGTTCCGGATCCGCAAAATGATGAACAAATTAGAGCTGAAAGTACACGGTATGGTGAATTTGCTTTGGAAATGATGAACTTAAAGCCATCATTTGCTAGAAAGTTAAACCCATCTGGGTTAAGCCCTATACATCTTGCTGTGCAAAATAATCAGACTTTCGTGGTACGAGAGCTCCTAAAAGTCGACAAAGATCTAGCTCGTGTTAAAGGCAAGGGTGGTCAGACCCCTTTGCATTTTGCCGCAGACCAAGAAGCACTGGATCTTTTAGTTGAGTTTCTGGAGGCATCCCCTGAATGCATCACAGATGTGAACATACACGGCCAGACTGCTCTCCAGGTTGCTGTAAAAAACGGACGCTATGAAGCTGCAAAGTTCTTGGCTTCTTGGATTTACAGGAGCACCCACAAAGATAGCGCAGCTTGGGAAAGGGCAGTGTTGAATGGGAAGGACCAAGAAGGAAACACTGTATTGCATATAGCCGCATTAAATAATGATCCCCAGGTACAATCTCATATGAGACCACTCAAGTCAACCTACTGATCCCCAGGTACAATCTCATATGAGACCACTCAAGTCAACCTACTAGTATTGCATATAGCCGCATTAAATAATGATCCCCAGGTACAATCTCATATGAGACAACTCAAGTCAACCTACTACTACTACTACTACTACTACTACTACTACTACTACTACTAATATGAGACAACTCAAGTCAACCTACTGATACTACTACTACTACTACTACTACTA